TTAATTTTTGTTTAATACTGCTGATTAAAGAAACAGTTAACAAACCTTATCAGATGTTTAATGACTCTGAGTTTTGAATTCACAGAGGGAATATTTTTGTGAACTTTGGGCTGATGTGCCTAAAAATAAAGCAAAATGGAAAGTTTTACAAATGTGCTTCAGATAGTAATGCAAGCCCCTAGAGAACAATGCATTAAGCTAACATTTTAATTTTGTACCAATAAAGGATTTGGCTATAGATACAATATTAAAGAAAAATAAATTGATCTAAAGAAGTGAAAATCTAGAACCAACCAAATCACTAGGCCCAACCAAGATGATAAATTTAATTTGATCTCATTCCCATTTACTAGAAACTAATTTTTATCCTTATGCATTCACATTCACCAAGCAGTTCATGCAAAAAAAACCCATGTGCTTCCACTACTTCACTCTCAAAGGTTCCTTGCAGATGTTTAAAATTAAACAAACAAATGTTTTACCGAAGAAGCAGTGTGTTACTTCAACCTGGCTCAGCAGCATCTATAAAGATTGGGTGCATCAGCAGGACTTTTTGGTGCTTTTAGCTAAAGCTGACTCAATCAGCTAGTAGAGTAAGGCGCTGTCCTGGGCATGTGTGGGGCTCAGCATGGGAACACATCAAGTTTAAAGTGCTTTTTTTTTTAAAACATCTGCAAGCATCCCAAGTCTTCAACCAGTCATATGTAACCTTATCCCAGAACTTGCACATATTTTTTTTCCATGCCCTGATCTGAAGAACCTCAAACACAAGAGAATAATACATTGTACCAATAATTTTTGGACAAATCATGGTTTATGCGAACCATCCAGCTTCTAAATGGCTGGGAGTGCATGCCCACAGGTTGCACCAGGATGAGTCACAGATGCCCCAGGCCATACCAGGGGGGAGAAAGGTGAAGGAACTGGAAGTCAGACAGGAGCCCAGGGGCTGTAATTTAATCCCTCATGGGCCACATGTGCTCTGGTTTATACACCAAGATATGTTACATTTGGGCATTCAGATTTTTGTAATAAACCAGGGGTGCCCAAATCCTTGCAAACCCTAAATCAAGGATGGGTAACATTTTGCAGCTGTGGGCCACTGCCTGCAACCCAACCCTTCCATGGACTGCAAATCTTCACACCCCTGACTGATCAGCAAATGCTGTAGAGGGGATATGGAACAAGACAGGCAATAAGGACCCTGGGAAGGACTCCCTCTGCTGCTCCCACTAGAGTATACTGCTGAGTCTCCCAGCTGCCAAGGGGCAGAACTAATCTCTACTTAGGTGAATCTGGCCTGCAGGCCTACAGGTGGCTAACCCCTGTCCTAAACAGTATGATCCATAAATAAAAGCAAGGTCAGCATTTACAAATACTTATGTTATTTTTGGTTACTGAACATGGAAGAGTAAACTTCTCACATATGCAAGACAATCTTAATATTGCTGTTCTACTTTCCCTACACATGATCAGTTTCCACTAACAGTCATGCAGGACAGATCCAAACCTACCCATCCTCAGCTTAACTGCCACAAGAAATGAAGGCACACCTGCACATGTTTGCAGGATCTGGCCCCTAAAGGATAAAAATGAGTACTACAATAAAAATTTGAAAAAGAATTTACCTTCAAAAGTCTAAGTTAATTCTATTTCTGATCTACACATTAAATATTAAATTCATTTAGCAAACATACTTTAACCAATCCAAAATCCTTTACTATCTTCTTTTCCCAGTATGGCCGACCTATTACACTTCTGATTCTAGTTACAAGATGCAATTTGTGAGGCTGCTGAGGATCACCTCCATATTTTTCATGATCTGAAGGCTTTGGTTGAAACACCTACAAATAATTCAAAAACATGAGTTTGTTTTCAAACATTTTAATAATTTTACATTTAATAACTTTACATTATATTATACAATAACATATTAATAACAAATACTTTGGCCTTTCACAAGAAAAAATACTGGAAATGGGGGGAAATCAAATTAACTTCCCTTTCACAATGCCAAAACAGCAACTTTTGCTTCTATAACATTTTTGTTATCATGGCTGCATCAGATTTTGCAGAAGAATGCAATGATGTTAAAGCCACAGTCTGCAATTTACTTGAATTCAAGACTCCCCACCTGTCCTCCGATGGCCTTAGGTCCCCTCTACCTTCCTCCCACCCAGCCATTGCCTACCCTTTTTCTGCTCTGGCCCCATTCCACCCTGGGGCACAGAGCACAGTCCCAGCCTGGCTTGGTAGATGTGGCAGAAGCAGCAACTCTGGCCAGGCCCTAGAGCTTCCACATCACTGCTGCTACTAATCCCAGCTGCAGCCATGCTCCATTGCGCAGGTTCAAACAGAGCCAGAGGTTGGCAGAGCAGAGCAAGAGACAGTGGGGAGGGGCAGAGGTCAAGCTGTTTGACCCCCCACCATACACACACACCACACTATCCTATCACCTGACCCCCCGCCAGTGTTTTCCCCACTGTACAAATGAAGAAGACGAATTTAAGGCAACCCTCCAATAATTAGATTTTCTACATAGAAAATATAATACATTTATACATTTTCCATGTGTATAATCTAATTATAGGAGGGTCATTTTAAATTCAGTGTGGTCTCTGATTCAGTAAATATGGTATATACAGAGAAATATTAGAGACTCTCATAGGTGCCATAATCCATACACACAGATCCAGCTGTAGGACTGAGACCTAAAATTTGACCCATGATTGAAGTATAACCAGCTTAGAAAAGTTTTAAATGGCCTTGTTTTAGAAACAAGACTATATGTCCTTGCAAACAACATGCACTTTCCCCCAAAAAACCACCTGCTGGAAACAGGAGTGCACAACATATGTGAGAAACAAGGTAAGAGCAAGTTTTGCTGCTGATGGGGTAAAACCAAAGGTAAAATCTGCAGCTGCTACTCCCAGCAGCTGCTACTCAATTTACTACATGAAAAGATCTTTTTCCCCTGCTTCATTCTGCCTTTCAGAAATAAGGCATCTATGATATTGTGGAACATACTCTATGCAAGAAAATACAGTACTCTCAAGCTAGACAGTGTTTATTTTCCTCATGCAGAAATATGAGGGAAAAATTCAGTACAAGCAAAAAGCACACCTTATTTTTCAGTGTCACATGTGTGACTTACCTCACTGCATTTATTAATGAAGTGGTTTTATTTTGTTTGTTTTTTTGTTTTTTTTTTAAACACATTGCTCTCCAGTTTAAGAACAGAAAGGCTACACATTTCTACTAGGATGGCCATCATGGAGGATAGTCCAGTTGTCCTCTGTCAATACAAAACCTGACACCTTTATGTCCCCATTTTTCTCTCAAAGAGAAAAATACAAGACATAAAGGCATCAGGTTTTGTATCAAGAGAGGACAGAGTAGGAGAAAACCAGAATGTCCTCTATGATAGCCACCCTAATCTTTACCCGCGTGCTTCATTGGAAAAAAGAAAAGAAAAGGAAAAGCAAGCTATAAATGAAAGCTTTAAAGGCTCAAGCATTTTTAAACACCACACTTACCTCAGAGGGAATTCGTGACTTTGAAAATTTATAGCGAATCCCTCCGGCCCAAAACACAGACTGTGGGCTCTTGGCCAGAATCTAAAAATAATAATGGTAGTAGTAATTGCAGTAACAAAACAACAACTGGCAATTTTTCTTTTTGAAATTTCTCCAAACCAGTTCCCACTTCTACTGGGCACAGCTCAACAGTCAATTTCCAACTGATCAAAGCTCAACTGTTCAAGTCTGTGTGGCTCTACCACTGGACAAGCATCCTTCATTTCAGACCTGTCTAGGGCTTCAGATACGCCCCAAACCTGTGGCAAGTGTCCTACACGCAAGCCCAGAGCCCAGATGCCCCTTAGTCTTGCTTATTCCTAACAAAAAGGCTGGGAAGCAACCCAGGGAAACACAAAAAAGCAACCCCTCTCCCCGCATTGCGTGTGTAAAATTGTGCAGTTAAGTCTCCTGCATTTGGGAAGCTTGCAGGGGTTAGTCGGCCTGGAGTACAAAGAACGAGCTTCACCCTGGGAAAACCACCACTGTGATCACCGTTTCCCCCCTGCTAGGTAAGTATAGCAACAACAATAACAATAAAATGAATTAAAATTAAAACTACAAACCTGTAAAGGCACCCTGTATTTAAGAAATGAAGGCACAAGCCCTGGCACTGCCTAGATCCCTGCCTCTCCCTGGGGTTCCCAAGTAAGGTTACTGTATGTCCAGGTTTTCCTGGACACATCCTCTTTTTGAATCCTCCTATCTCCACGCGGGTGGGTTTTTCAAATCTGAGCAAATGTCCAGATTTTTGCTTTAATTCACACGTGGGTGCAGGAGGAGAGGCAACAGTAGGCAGGGAGCTGCAGGCAGGTAAGTCAGGGTTGCAGGACTGGGGCTGCTGCAGGGCAGAGGGGCCAGGGAGGTTGCCTGCCCCTCCAGCGGGGGAAGGGGACAGGGGGCCTTTTGAGGGCCCAGGTCGGCAGCACAGGGGATGGTGATGTGCTTGCAGGGGCAGAGCAACCAGAAGATGCTGGGGGGAAGAGGGATGTGGGCCATGGCCAAGCCTTCTGGCACGGTGTGGCAGCCCCAGCCCGGGGGGAGCGGCCTATAAGTCCACCCTTTTCCCTCCAGCCTGCACTGGGGTCTGAGTCACTCTGTCAGGACAAGGGCAACTAGGGCCCCTCCAACAGGGGGCTGCTGGTCAGGAGAGAGGTTCAGCGCCACCAACGCGGCGGCAGGAAGCCCCAGGCTGGGATGAAGTAGGGGGGCAGAGACCCCAGGGGCCGCGTTGGAGGCTACAGTTGGGGCGCGGGCGGGATCCTCCCTCACCTCCCAGGCCGCGGGGGTGGCAGCCCGCCTCAGCGCCGCCATCTTCGTTCCAGGCTCTTGCTTCCGGGGGGCGGGGCGCAGCAGCCGCAGCCCTTGGGTTCCAGGAGGCGCCGGCTCCTTCCGGCCGGAAAGCGGTGTGCATCGCCCGGCATCGCCGTGGTTCAGTCCCCGCTCCCGCGTCACGTGCCCTGGGGGCAGACCGGCGGCCCCATGGCGGATGCGAGGCTGGAGGAGGCGGCTACGGCCGCACTGCAGCGGGCAGTGGAGCTGGACGCGGGGTCGCGGTTCCCGGAGGCGCTCGTGTGTTACCAGGAGGGCATCGACCTGCTGATGCAAGTCAGGAAAGGTGCGGGGGTGGGGGCGGTTGCAGCCTCCTCTCTCCCCGCCTGGTCCGGTTACGTCCCAACCCGTCCCAGGAGCGTGTACGCGACAGGCTTACGCCCACCTCCACGCCTGCCCCTTGTGTGAGCGGAGGGAGACCCTGGCACGTACCTACCCGGAGCTGCCGGCCTGCAGCCCCTTCACCTTATTTTTCTAAGGAAAAATGTTTCACGTCCCAAGTCAAACCAGCCAAATCCATCCCAAATCATTCAAGAACCAAATGTGGCCTTACTACTGGCAACATCCTCCACACCGCCTGGGGCTTCAGATGCTTGCAAATCCTTTGGCGGGCATCCCTGTGCAGGCCCAAAAGCTTGGGGTTTGGATGCCCCCAAGTTTGGCTTGAGTTGGCCGGAGGAGCAGACGAGGGAGAAGTCTCCCATTTTCATAAAGTCCGTGTGTAGCCAAGATCCTCCCACTGGAAGCTGGGCACTGGGAAGCTGACTGGAGGGAGCCCTGTCTGCAAGCAGACAAGGGTGCAACCCCCCCCACTGCACAGTGCCACTTTACTTGCATTACCTCAGTCAGGGTATTTCCCCTGCCGGGTAAGGACAACACTGTGCCAGGGACCCTGCTGCTGCTGGGCAGGCAGGGGGCACCTTGCCAGGGCAGCAAGGGGCTCCTGGTGGTGGCGCCAAGCCTCCCCGCCCCACTCTGCCTTGCAGTGTCAGGTCCCACTGGTTGGGCCTGCAGTGGGCAGGCCACACCCACCCTGTACACAAAGCCGTGGGGTATGTGCCCCTCCCCATGCCCCTTCTGGGAAATGTGCACACTGGCAGGGAGCCACTCTCCCACCACCAACCCATCCCTGGACAAGTTGCCTGTGGCTTAGTCCCATTTCCCACCTGGGCCCTGTGGCTGTGCATTCCCTCCTGGGCCCCACACGCTGCTCTGGCTGGGCAGTGCCCCAAATCCCAGCCCTACCCGACTCCCTCCCTTGACCTCTTATGGGCTAAGATCAAGTGGGGGTATCTGAACCCCAAGACCTTTGGGTTTGGGCCTGCCAGTGGTTTTAGGAGTATCTGAAGTCCCAGGGTGAGAGCCTGGGGTGGAGGATGCTTGCCAGTTTTAGCGCCACATCTGGTGTTTAGAACGGTGAATTCTGCCTGCTCCATTGATACGGTTTTTGGAATGACTGGCTTCTGCTTAATGGGTATGATTTGACCTGGAACACAAAATATATTACTTAAAAAAACCCACCCTCCCTCACTGTGGGGGCCTCATTTCCTCCCTCAATTACCTGGAGGGAGCTGTGCTGCCAGGCTGCCACATGCATGTGTGAACACAGCACCCCCTGCCCGAACACTCTCTTCCTGCTCCCCCCTACACAAGCAGCCCCTGGCAGCTGGAACTCTGCCAGCCTGCAAGGGGAAATCCACCATTTCCCATGTTTTTCCTCCTTTGGAGAAAATCTGCATTTTTGTCCTTAAAAAGAGGAAATTGTTTTTCCATGGTGAACAGAAAACCCAGATTCCTGCTGGTAAGTTAGTATTTATAGAGACTCTTTAAATTTACCAAACAACATGCAAAAGATTCCAGCTCCTGAAGGGTCAGTTTATTTGGAGAAGTGTCCCTTGACAAGCGTCCAGTGTATTTAGCACAGAAACCACTAAATGAAGTCTCTCAATGTGCTTAAAGAAGCCCATCTGAGATAAACACAATAAAATATGAAAAGCGTGAATTACTATGTTACATTCTTTGAAAACTAGTCTGTAAATCTGATGTCTTTTTTGCTTTGCAGCAACAAAGGATGAAACAAAAAAAACTCATTACAGACAAAAAATAATCGAGTACATGACTAGAGCTGAACAGATTAAGAAGCATAATAAAAAAGAGAAAGAAGGTATGGAATTTAAATGTAAAGAGATGATGCATTTGTGAATATGAACAGTTACAAGAAGATGATGTGGCAGTTCAATTATGCATGTGCATTATTGCTGTCTTATTTAGTGAAAGGATTCTCCTTTTTTAGATGGTAAATACCACAAGCAAATTAAAATTGAAGAGAATGCAACGGGTTTTAGCTACGAAAAACTATTTCAAGAGTACCTTAATGAGACAGTTACAGAAGTTTGGGTAGAGGATCCTTATATTAGGCATGTTCATCAGGCAAGTGGATTTTGAATCTGATTTGTAGATATAACTCAGATTTTTTTTGTAGTTTTTAATAAACTGTAACTTTTACAGTTGTACAACTTCTTAAGATTCTGTGAGATGCTTGTTAAAGGGCCCTGCAAAGTGAAAACAATCCATCTCCTCACTTCTTGTGGTGAAGTAAGTATTATCTGCATTTTTGTGTAGGTTTTGGATTTTTAATCCTGTTGGCATTTATCAAATGGATATCCTGTTTTTTATAGGAAATGCAAGAAGGGAAATAGGAACATAAGGAGAACACTGTATTTTTTCACAGAATTTAACATAAGCCAAGAATTTAATAATTTCAAATATTTACCCACATCTAATAAAGTCTACCATGGAATCTTACATGGAAATGACACTGAAAACTGTTTGTACTGTCCAATTTGCATGTTTATGATGAGAAACCATTAAAACTCAGCTGACAAACATTATATTAAGGAAGGCCTGATTTATATTTGTCACTTAGGAATTATACCAATTTAAAATCCTTCATTCTCATTGGACTCCTTTTATCCCAAATCTTAATCCAGTGAACTGGAGAGGTAGCACAGCTAGCAGCAGGACTAGGGGAAAGACCCAAGTCCTTGTCCAGAACGTGTTGCTGGCTTCTTTCATGGAGGTGGTAAATTGAGGAAGATAAATAGCTACAACACATGCAAGAGTGGGACAGAAACAAAGCACTCACCAGCTAGGCCAAGGGCGTGAGCTGCAACAATTTTTATTTTTAACAGGGCAGTGAAAACAGTCAGCAAACACGTGCCCTAGAAGAGATACAACAATCAGTAAAGAACTGTGGAATAAAACTGGATGTCTCCTTTTCAACTTCAATTCATGACCGAGAAATTAGGTTGGTAATGCTGAAAATCAATTTAATCCCAAATTATTTGATTTTTATATGTTATAACTATAGTTAAAGATCTTAGCAAAAGTGGAAACCAATTTCCTTAAGTAGTGAAAGAGTATACAGGCAGTCCTCAACTTACGACTTTTGGAGTTATGACCAATGGCACTTAAGAGATTTATTAATTGACACCCTGTTTCAACCTTCCAACATGGGTTTCAACTTTATGACGCTGGATACAGCTGCATCCAGCTGGTAAGTCTTGTGGTAGAAGGGGGGGAAGGGAAAGGATGTGGGGGGGGCAGATCAAGACCTGCCCTGTGGTGAGGGAGGGGCTGGGGCAAGTTGCTTGTCTGGTACCTCCAGCTGAAGGGGCCTGGTGGGGGTGGTGCCTCTGGTTCTGTGAGGGGCAGAATGGGCAGGGCCAGGGCTGCATTGGCTTGCACTGTGAGTGGGGGCTATGCCCTCCAGCCACTCGCCCAGCCAGGGCAGGACAGGTCCAAGACAGGGCCACAGTGCTGTCTCCAGACAAGTAGCAAGAAACTGCAGGAGCCACGTCCCACTCCTGGACAAGCCACGGCTCCATCCCCGCACCTGCCCTGCTCCAGCTGGGCGAGCGGTGGCAGGGCATGGGCAGGCATGTGCCCCCAGATCGGAGTGGGCAGCAGGGCAGAGCAGGTGGTGGAGCGGAGACTATGCGGGGGTGCAGCCCAGCATGGTTCCACCCGCCCTACCCCGAGGGCACATCCCTCACCCCCCACATGCCCCGCAGTTGCTCACCCAGCTGGGACAGGGTGGACGCAGGACAGAGCTGTGGCTCATCCAGGGTGGGGGCAGCACTCGCCACTGCCCGCAGCTTGTCCGGAGGTAGCACAGCGGCCCCATCCTGCGGCCGCCTGCCCCAGCTGGGTGAGCTGCAAGATGGCATAGCTCCCGCTCCCAGTGCAGCCCCAGCCTCGCCTGCCCGGTGCAGCTCTGGGGGCACACACCCCCATGCCCTCCCAGACGAGCAGCGAGAGCAACCAGATGAGCCACCAAACAAGCAACTTGCCCCAGCTCCTCCCTCACTGTGGGGGACCTTGAACTGCCCTCCCACACCTCTTCCTTTCCCCATCCCCTTCCACCACAACAGACTTACAAGCTGGATGCAGCTATATCCAGCATCGTAAAGGAACCAAGCCCCCATTTATAACGTCGTTTCTGTGGGAAAATTGTTTCCAAGTTATAACGTTTCAACTTAAGACGTGGTTTTCAGGAACCAATTGCATCGTAAGTCTGAGGACTGCCTGTACTCTCTCGTTGGAAACTGAAATTGAGTTTTCAAGATGCATCATTACTGTATTTACACAGTTCTCGTCTGCTTAGTAATTGTGACTGAACCAGCTGGAAGAGCTGCATAACTTTTGAAGATGATTACTTTTTTAATATATCTGGGATTTTAATATCTGTGAATAGAGTGACACAGTGAATTTTTAAAATAGGTTCAACAATGGATGGATGGTCAAGATTGGAAGGGGACTTGATTATTTTAAGAAACCTCAAGTAAGTATGCCCTGACTTCTGACTGTTTGAACTATGAAGTGGCTTACTCTAAAACTATTATTTTTGTAGGGTCGGTTTAGCATCGGATACTGTGACTTTGATTTGAGGCCATGTCATGAAACCACAGTGGATATCTTTCATACTAAACATACAAAGAAAATATGACCAAATATTTTTCTTCCCATTACTGTGTTTAAAAGCTTAATACTGCTGTTCCAATCTATTTTACTTAACTGCATGTAGTGTATATATTTCTATGGAATAAATTTCTATTTTTTTACATTTTCAGTTATGAGTGGTTTAATTCATCTCTGTGAACTGATAACTTATCTAAGCCACACTAGCTAAAGACTTTAAACAAAGTGTCACATCATTAATTTATAGCACTTGGGAGACAATTTTCTATAAAGAGAATAAACTCACAAATTTAATATTTTTGATACAGTACAGCCAATTCAATTATGTAGACGTTAACTAGATAAACACCTTAATATGAAATGATGTTTAAGACATTCTGGGTTTAAGAATTTAACTAAGCTGTGATAAAGCATTTAACTGGAAAACTGAAGCAGTTTTTTTTTTTAGAGTTCCCTGCCCTGTTTTAGAGGGAGGCAAAAGTCAATAAAATATTTGTGCAAAATTTTCTGTGAGGTTCTAACTGGTAGTGGTGATACAGTTTCCTTTAAATAAGCCTTTAAAGGGGCTGTCCGATTCTGTGAATCCCTCTTTCAGTATTAACAGAAATATGTGTATCATATACCTGTAAAAAGGAAAATAACTAAAATCAATATGCCATATTTGATCAGGCTGCCTAAGTGTGTAGTCCAGTTTTGAGGCAGATATCCTTCAAATATAGGACAGGATTTAAACCTATTTGGTTTCCTTAACTGAGGTTCAGTCGCTTTCCACCACATAGTGGTTTTCTTGCTGTCTGAGCTGATCATAAACAGGACTTAAAACCAATTCTGCAGTACATCTGAGCTGGTCACAGTTTTGTGGCCTATTTATTGGTATGCAAAATTTCTTGTTTAGAACTAAAAGGCAGACAACGTGGAATACTCTATGCATTTCAAGTGATCAGAAATTACTCTGAAATAAATCTTGGGGCTTGCTCTCACAATACTACTTCATAAGATATAATAGTGGCTTTAGAAGTCTTTTTTTAAATGAAAATTGTCATTCTGTCCAAGTCCAATATAGTTTTCCAAGTCACTTTCTCTGAAGTCTTATAATACTGACCTGCTTAAAAATACTTTCTTCATGGTCTTGAGTCCCTAAATAGATACCAGACCTTTAGTAATGGAAATTAGTGTAGTGTAGCAATTTAGTTTTAAGAACCATTTAATGAGGGAGTAATCAGCCTTGAACTGGACTCCAAGATTTCAACGGAACAATGAAGAAGTAAAGATACAATTACTTCAATACAAGCTTAGTGCTAGAAGATAAACTTCCAAACTAGTGAAAATACAGCTTATTTTTCACATGCTTAATCACCCAGAATCAGCAGCAAAAATAGCTTGCATTTTCATTATGAAAATCACATGAGTGTTGTTGTCATGTTCTCACATAACAGATTCCACCTCCTGTGCACCTCATAGTCTTGTGGACATGATCTTAGCAGAGCACTTGCTAATGCAGTCATTTCACTCGGGCAAAACTTACTGCCAATTAGGTTCTTTTCTAGTTCACCACACAGTGCGGGTGGCAGCCATTCTTCTGGCAAGTTAATATTACAAACTTCAATTCTTCCATGCTTTATATCCATATCTACTTTAACTTCAAGGAAAGAATGTTTATACACCATGTTAAAGCAGGTGCTAATACTAAACTTTGGTGTCTTGCCATATATCCACTCCCAGCTTTGTAGTTCTTTTGTTTTATTATTAATTCCAGGGAACACAGTCTCATCAGTTGGATTTATGAGGGTGACACGGTGATCAATTTGATGACAGATGGCATATTCTGCAGCAATGGCATCCATAACTATCTGGCAAGTTAATGTGGGATCCTCTTCAAAGAGATTTTTCACTGAGGCAGGCACACTAGGAGTGGCATTACTTTTTATACCTTTGTAAGGGCTCTTTAGCACAGAAGATAAAAGAAATCTATCTGCACTGCAGAGTAAGGTGCAGTGGTGATAAGCAGTTCTTCCTAGCTTGGCAGCAGTCCCTGAAATTTTAAAATTCCTGTTCAGCAAGAGGTCACACCTATCAGTAGCATGTACATCTAACTGTGGTCTCAGGCATTTGAGAGCCTTAACAACCAGTTTTAGATTTTCCATTCTCTCATATTTTCTCTTGGATGTGAAGAAAGTCAAATTGATATTACCTAGATCATGGTACACTGTTCCTCCCCCACTTCTTCTTCTGGCAAGTTTTATATTCTTCTGCCTCATCATCTTGAGGTTACACTCCTGCCAGGGATTCTGGTGTCTCCCAATCACCACAGTAGGTGAATTCCTCCAGAGAAACAGAACCTGCCTGTTCTCCAAGTTCATGTTATCATGAATCCAGTCTTCCACTGCCAGATTTTGGTAAATGTCATTAGAAACAGACTGTAGAATGATCGCTCCATCTGCTGTAGTTCTGAAGCCAGCTGCAGGAAACTTGTGGACATAAAATAACTGAAACCAGTTCCTGAGAGATGCCCGGATTACCATGTTCTTCATAAAGTACTGAACAATTTGTGGAAGGGAAAATGGTTCTCTTACAATGTGCTATAGGACCTGCATAATCCAATCTCCTCTGATACAAATGCATTCCCAGAGACAGTTGTAGGGCATAAACACCATCTTTTTGGTGTAATTAGGCCTCAGCTGTAAAGTGTATTGAATTACAAGGAAGTTCTCCCAAAGCATACCTCCGCTGGCCCTTATCCAGGACTAGAGCTGGGGCTGCAGGTGGCTTGAGTTTCCATTCCACATAGCCTGAAAGGAGGGCAGGGGAGGGGAGAGAGAAGTATTACAGCTGTTTGCACCTGTTTCCTCTTGCCATGGAACATAAGAATTGCCAGTTATGGGGTCAGACCATGGGTCTGCCTTGCCTAGTCTCCTGCATCACACAGTAAGAAAGGCTTTTAGTTTTATTTGATGGGCCCATGCTCCCCTCGTGGTGTAACAAATAGACGTGTGTCACACAATGATGGAAAGCAAATATTGAAAAGGATGGTGAACTGTGTATGACAAGGGTCCCCCCCCCGCTGTTCCTCTCCCACTTGCAGCCTCTGGCATTTAAGGTCTAGAAAGTAAAGTCAGAGGCTGTACCAGCTGACTCCTGTGCCCACTAGCTTCTACTGCCCCTTTCCCTCCAAGAATTTGCCAGATCGCTTTTTGACCACAAACAGCTAGTGTGTGTGGTACTTAAATGCAGAACTCTAGCTATATATATGTAGCGAGAGAGAGAGAGATCTATCTATTCTAAAACTATTATTTTTCTAGGGTTGGTTTTGCATTGAATAATGTGACTGATTTGTCATGAAACCACAGTGGATATTCCATACTAAACATAAGAATATGACCAAATATTTCTCTTCCTATTTCTATTTCTAAAAGCTTAATACAGCTGTTCCAACCTGTTTTCCTTAACTGCATGTACTGTACTTATGTCTATGGAATAAACTCGTATTTTTTTACATTTTCAGTTATGAGTGGTTTAATTTATCTGTCTGAATTGATAACTTTTCTAAGCCACACTGGCAAAAAAAAACTTTAAACAAAGTATCACATAATTAATTTAACTAGATTTAGGACAGATTTAAACCCACTGTGGAAATTATCTAGATAATTTTAGATAGATAGATATAAACCAAGGTGCTGTTAAACCAGCTTAAAGGTAATGGTAAATCTGTCACTGCTATCTGCGATTTTCAGTATTATGCTCTACTTTGGTATCATGAAAGAATGACTTGTTTCTATCCTCCTGGCAGCCTGCCTGTGCCTCTTTCACTCTGCTGCTGCGCTGGGAGGCCTAAGGTCATGCTGTCAGAGCCATGAAAGCTTTCTGAGGCACCTGGGCCAAGGACGTTGCCGAGGGACCTCGGCGTTTTTCCTGCTTTGCTCCAACCCCGCCCCAATTAAATGGAGCCAGTGCAGGGTCAGGCTCGTGCCCGGGAATTGCTGCGCCCCTAGCCCCACACACAACAGATGCAGGAGCAGTGGCTCCAGTGAGGCCGGCCAGCCCGCCCCGCCCCGCCCCGCCCCGCACACCCCCCAGGTCCACTCACGCCGCGCCGGGGTCATACGGGGGTACCCCACCTCCCGTGTGCGCCGCCCAAACCCTTCCGGCCCCGCCCGGCCCCCGGCGCCTGCGTTCCGGCCTCCTGACTGACTGGGAGGGAGGGGTGAGGAGGGGGAAGGGATAGCGGGTGACACCGAGCACCAGCGAGTCGTAGGTCTGCCGCCAAGGGGCTTTTGGGGGATGGCGCCTGCAGCCCGCCCCGGACTCGGGGCCCCTCTGCCTGCCTCGCCAGGGAGCTGAACTGTCTAGGGCTGCTGCTTGTTGCTGGGGACCGGCCCCAAGCAGGGGGAAGTGGTCTGTCGTGGGGCCTAGACGCTGCCAGCCGGGGCTGTGCTGCCCTGCTGGTAGCTTCCCTCCCTCCACCCCCCCCACATTGCAGCCTTCTTCGTCCCAGGCTCCCCAGAGAAAAAGAGGTGGGGGCAGGCAGTGCAGTGGCAGATAGGGCAGGGAGCAGAAAACAGCGGGGTGAATTGGGCAGGAAGCAGAAAGCAGAGCAGTGGGTTGAGCAACCAGGACCACAGGGCAGGGAGCAGAAAATAGAGCGGCGGATTAGACAGGATGAGCAGGATGTAGAGCAATGGATCGGGCAGTGGGGAACAGGGCAGGGGGCAAGAAGCAGAGCAGCTGTTTGGGTGAGGAGCCCAGGGAGGGAGCAGAAAGCCAAGCAGCAGATCAAGCAGAGCAAGGAAAGGGGATTGGTGTGGCACTCAGGGAAGGTGCCAGGTTAATTTGAGGGACAGATTGACTCCCCACTGTTCAAAAGCACTTGGAATCTGGTTAGCTGTCAACACAGTGATCTGTCTGTCTTTGGCCACCAGATGTCATCAGTGACACAGTATAACCGTTTAGGCTGATGCTTGGACTGGCATTTTGGGCAGGGTTTTTGGCTGGGGCAATTGGTTCCAATAAAACAAAAGCCACCTGGGACCCTGTTGGTGATGCTCTTTCTTTTTTGCAATTCCCTGGCAGAACTACAAGAGAAAGTATGTTTGCACAAGTGAAGACATGATGTTGATGGCAGCAGTAAGGCCAGGAGTTTGAGTTCAACCCCTGCTTGTTGAGGAACTAGACAGTGACTGGACAATCTATCTATGAGATGAGTGTCAGATTGTACACATGACCAAAAGGTCCTTCCTTTTACAATGGCTCTGCCAGTTCAGCCATTTTATAACTCTTCCTCCCCATAACCAGTCTCTTCTTTGGCTGCTACAGATTTAGTTCCTATGAAATCAAATAGGCCTGTATCAAAGCTGGACACTTTGATCCTGTCCTGTGAGTAGTTGTTCAAAGCCTGAGAAGAGGGTCTGGCCTGGTGCAGTGCTGACTGGCTAGGGTTAGAATGGTACAGTGCCCCATTCCGTGCCCCAGGGAGCCTTACTGTGACAAGGACACAGCCTCTGAAGCTATGGCAAGGTGCACAAAGAACAGAACTGCCTTGATGTTTTCTATTACTTCTCTTCAATGGAACCTGAAGGGAGTCACCTCATTTGCCTAGCTGGACCTTCTCAGTTTGATGGAAGACCTCTGAGGAAACCCCAGTGCTGCAGGGTAAGATGTAGGTGACTCAGAAGCAGGCCATCTCTTCTGAAACTCAGCACCCATCCCACTGCACAGGGATGTGCAGGGAAAGTTGTCTGTTAAAAGTTTTACCTTGCCTCCCAGCTGAAAGCTGGGTTGCTTCTGGACATTAGTAACCTGATGGGACCTTTGTAAGAGCCCAGGCATGGGCCCAACCCAGATTTTAAGCTGAGCAATTCTACCTGCCTTCCTAACTTCTCAGAGCATTTTCCATTAGATGTAAGATTCTCTCTCATTTCTCAGACTGCATGTTAGCCTGATGTGACTGTTAGCACTGCTACATATAACTACTGCTTTCCTCTTCCTCATTAGAGTCAGAGGAATGGAGGGTTAATCAAGGAACTGCCATATTTAGTTCAGCTGTTTGGGCTTGTATGAAGCCAGAGCCAGTCAGGCAAACCAATCAGGTTAGCAGTGAACCAATTTATCCCATTTAGAGCCAACTAGCTCTATGTCAAGGTGCAGCATTTTATTTTGTTGCTGTTCTTGATTACAAGGTCCAGCATTGACAGAACTCATGAATGACTGCAAAGACTTAATCCCAACACTAACAGATTAGCAATAGGGGCCTGATCCTTTTTTATAGCCAAAAGTGTCCATAATTCTGGAGGAACCGACCCTTGGGGAATTCCTCAGGCTCCAGGGGGCTTTTTAGGCAACGTGATATGTCCAGCTGATGGTAGCAATTGCCTCTATCCCTCCCCACTGCTATGGCAAGCAGAGCTCACTGGGAGAGAGAGTTGCATCCTTGTTTCCTAGATCATTATGTGAAACTGAGGATTCTACCTTTCCCAACCACCTATTCTGGTGATCTGGTTTCTGTGTAGAGCAGACTATGCTCAGTGTTCTACAGCCTCCCAGTGATGTGGCCTTTTACCTTCCCCTCTCTAGGGAAGGTTTACTTCCTGGCTTCACTTTGGAAGACAACTTTTGAAGTAGCCAAACATATCTACGGGGGTGCAGTGGTCAAGGTAGAACAGCTTTATGCAGAGTTAAAGTCCTTCTGCCTCCATCACTGCGTGGCTGGTTGGTACATGGGAGAATCTGCTACCTCCAGCCCGACAACTCTGTGAAGGAGTGTACCGTAGCGACTATGAGGGGAAGTTATGAGTCTTCAGCTACAAGCCATGCTAATGAAGGTGAAGCTCCTTTTTCTGTTGTTACCTGGATTTAATTTTTAAAGGGGCAAACCAAGATGGCATTTTTGGTTTGGGCCCCTGGCAGACATTACACCTAAGATTAATTAGTTAATTATGATGTCTTAAGTAGTAACCTAACCACACATTCATTTAAATAATGGTGTGATAAAAGTATGGCCAGCATTGATCAGCTGAGAATGCACCAGAGCCTTGAAGGGCCCCAATGTGCTCTCGCATCTGGAAGTACCAACCAGATAACCAGTGCTCTCAGCTATGTAAGTGCACCGGAGCCCTTCAAGGCTCCCGTGCACTTCCACAACTAGGAACATAAGATCATCCAACTGGCACAGAACTACAGAAGCACAAGGCACTTGGCTTGCTACTTGCCAGTGCAAGGGGAGTATGATTGTGATCCCAGACTCCCCTAAACTAACAGCAGGGATCTGATCCCCAGTCCCACAATCATCCCTCCTGCTAATCATGTGTGGTATGGCAGGAGGTAGGATGGTTGGAATTGCAGATCAGATCCCATTGTGCCTTTAATTACATGTCAGCAGTCTTGGTGTCTGGCCACCTGATGGACCCAGATCTTGGGAGTCACTGGGAGGGAGGTGTTTAGTAACAGCTTCATATACAGGCATCAGAGAGTAGAGGGCTTGCAACTGATTCCTACTCGTGTACACAGATTCCCACAGACATATATTCCCATCTCTCATTTCATGCACAACCACAAGGGACCATGCATCTTTCATGCACAGGTTGCTCTATTATTCCATCCCAGCTAACATGGAAAACATCAAATAAACTGCAAGACAGAGCTTGAAGCAAATTCTGTATTTTGACAGAGAAAATATACTGTAAAGCTTCTTGTGATAAAAAGGCCATTTAAAAGTAAAAATAAGGAAAACTTAAGTCTTTACATAAAGTTTATATGAACAATGCTCTACATTTTTTCACACTTCAATATGAGATTTTACCTTGATAGTTTAGGGTATCCTGTAAAATTACACACCTAACTAGTCTCAGTTTCTTTACCTCAAATGAAGACCTCTGGGTGATTTCTTAGGTTTACCTCTAAAATCTTATTTGTTTCCTAATTGCACAGCTGTAAATGCTGCAGGCATAACAGCCATAACTGAGACAGCTTTAGAAATGACACTGAAGGGAATACAGAAGAAATGTGGTCTGTGGAGCTTGCACGTTTACTATTTTAGGCTGCTCAAAAGACTTACAGTGTCACATTCGCTATGTCAAAAATGAAATATCCTTTGCAACCCACTGCAGGAAATACTGTCCAAGAAATTAATTTGAATAGCATTACTGCTAATTGCAACTTCACATGAGAATATCAAGCATTTGTATGTAACCTTTTCATCAGGGAGTTAGTGACAGTAAAAAGGTTGGGTTCAATAAATTTAATGTTCCTCTTAACAAACAAACATAAAAGAGCCTTCCCCCTGTCCCAGACCTGGGGAAAGAAAGGGAATCAGATCCCCTGAGAGAAGCAGAACCCCCTGAGGGGAGAATGTCAGGCTGATCTTTGCTTTCTGTTCCCAGTGTCCCCTCCTTAATCCCCTCCCCTTACCCAATTTTTTAATTCCCCTTTTCTTTAGCCCCCACCTTCTTACAACATTTTAAAACCCTCTCTTCCTAGTATTTCCCATTTCTCTTCTACCAAGCCTCCAGACATGCCTGCCACCCACTGACATCCCCCATTACTGCTTATTCTGCACCAAAATAGTTATATGAATCTAAACATTTTAGGAACACTTTGGTGATAACAGGGATGTGTCAGAGACACAGTGACACTGTGTTATTCCACTGTTCAGGTAAGATAAGTATGTTATTTTTCATCATCCTTCAAGTCTAGTAGTTCCCTGACTTCCTGAACCAATGAGCCAGTGTCAACCTTTAATACTTCTTGCAGACCACCATGCACCCTTTGCCACCAAACTTTAACTGGAAAACATCATTGTTAGAGAGAAGGTTCAGGCTTGACAGTGGGAGACATTACTTTACAGTTAGGGCTGCCAGGCTTTGGAATGGGCTCCCAAGTGAGGTAGTGCTCTCTCCTACCTTGGGGGTCTTCAAGAGGAGGCTGGACAGATATTTGGCTGGGGTAATATGATCCCAGCACCTGTTCCTGCCCGGGGCAAGGGGTCGGACCTGATGGTCTGTTTAGGTCCCTTCCAACCCTAAGCACTATGATAGTATGGTCATAAAGCACATGGAGCCTCATGCAGTCTGCTGACCACTTGCTATGGCCTCCTAGGTGACCAGTGGTCCACAGTTGGGAACTTCTGCTCTACTTAATGAATGTTAATTGGTTAATCAGTAATGGTGTTTTGCTTTAAAACTCTGCTATAAAAATAAGAAAAATGTCAATAAACTGAGTACAACCATTTTTACATGTTATCAATTTCACATGTAGAACCTGTGCACTTTAGATCCATTCTAAGCAAGCTGTACAAATTCACAGCAGTCCTCCGACACTCCCACAAATTAACTGGGCTCATTTCTGAACACTGAAATTACCCTTTTGATGACAAAGATTGTAGTAATAGGGCTTTGGACATTCTCATGTTTTTACCAAGGGCTGAGGATGATTTCTCAACTGATTCTCTGGACAATTTACCAGACAACAGGTTCAATAACTGAAGCTTGTTCCCTTGAGTCAGAGTTACTGTGACAACAGGTTGTTTGGAAAACTCTCTTTTCTAATCTTGCTACTGGTGGACATTTCAGCCTCTTTGGTAAACACGTGTCTAGCACAGTGACCCTCTCAGTTGGGACCTCGGGGTGCCTTGAGATCTTTTCAAGTGTCTTAGGATGCTGCACAGTGTTAGCAAACTTGATTCATAAGATAAATCTAGGGATTTCAAATACGAATTTGTAGGGCCACAAAAACATCCTGCCCTGCTGGAGTCAGTCTTGAGCTCTTTGCAACAGAAGAATTGCTGTCACTTTTCTGTAGTCAAAAAGAGATTGAAAACTAATCACTGGAAGTTTCTCAGGGATGTCTATCAAAGGACGCCTTGAGGCAGGGGCAGATGGGGAGAGAGGGCATGTCTTGGTGCAGTTGCGCTCCCCTTAGATTCCTGCTCCACCCACAATTTAAATCAACCAGTGGCAGTGACAGCAGCATTTTAAGTCAGGCAGTACAGAGGGAGTCATTTGACTTCCTGGCTCGTTATAATTTACCCAATCCCTTCTACACTCTTCCTTCCACAGATCTTAAGCCCCTCTTCCTTTTTTTTTTTTATATATATATGTACTCTTGATGCTTCATCACTCAAGTAGGCCTTTTTTCTGCAGCTCCACTTCCTGGTAGCTACTTTTGCTCATGGAGCTCCCAGTTCACAGCCCCACAGCCTGGTTTTAACTCACTCCAAGGAGTTTTTGCTTCCCTCTTAAACTGAATAACACAGCCCTGGGCCCCTGACCTATGAGTAAAGCTTCTGGTTTCTTTCTTTGAGGAGAAAAATAGGTGTTGTTACATGGAATGATGCCCCTCAGCGTCTGCACCCCCCTCCCCTTTTCTAATCCCCGATCCACCCATGCCTCAAGGCTAAACAGTTTGAGACTGCAGAGTTTGAGCAAGGCTAAACAGTCTAGCACCTACCCCTCTAGACTGCCTAAGCCTGCTGTTCATGGCTTTAATACAGCTTCCCCCGCAGAGGGGCAGGAGGGAGGGGACCCACATGCCAGCCACACTCAAGGACCAGGGCTGGACACAGGCATGGGAGAGCTGTGCAGAAAGGGGCCCCGAAAATCGTAATTTTTATTATCAGCAGCGTTATTTCTGATGATGGGGAAGGTGGAAGGGGGGCCCAATGCTAAAAGTTCCCCCAGGGCTGCCAGGAGTCTAGGTACAGTGCTGTCAGGGACAGAGGCCTCCCCCTGCAGCAGCAGCAGCATTGGCTGCCCCTCATGAGGCTGAATGAAGTTAGTTGCTTATCCTGGTTCCTTTTTCAAAGCTAATCTTTACACAATTAAAACTTGTTAGTAATGAATTAGACATGCTAAAGAGTTAGAATTTCATCCAAAATCTATTCAGTGGGAAGCCAGACACACCGTTAGCATCCTCTTGCAAGCAAACACCATGAGCATCAAGGCCATGATCATCCAACATTGACTTTTCTGGCCTAGCCTCATCATCTGCATGTCCAACTCCAGACTCCTGAAGTACGTTTTACTCTCTCAGCTCAGTCAAGGTGGACACTCAAGGGGAGGGCAGAGAAAGCACTTCAAGGACATCCTCAAGGCCAACTTGAAAAAATGCAACATCAACATCAACTCATGGGAAACTATCACCCAGGATCGCCCCAAATGGAGAAGCAGCCTGTTGCAAGGATCTCCATACTTGGAAATCTTACAATGACAACAGGAGACACACGTGGGAGCAGCAGAAACAGCATGTCACAGACCAAACCAAGAATCCAGAGCCACCCACCGTGTGCGCAAACACATGCCCAAGTTGCAGTGGAGTGTGTGGATCCCACATTGGTCTCATCAGCCATCGTCGACCCACAGGTAAGGTACTTCTGGAAGACAGTCATCCTCCATTGCAAGGGATTGCTGAAGAAGAAATATTTACTCACGTAAAATAGTATTGTGGATCAAACACATGGCCCTGAATAAAGAGCTGAGATTAAGCTGGATTTGGCTCCATAGTCCCTTTCTGTGTCACTCCAAACCACACGTCTCCTGCCTGGAATTCATCAAAGGAGCCCTCTGGGCATGATATGCGTGTAGTCTGGGATGACCTGAAAAGGATTTTACCCCGTAATCCTAGCCTACTCCCAGCTCCTTATTCAGGGCCGCACACTAGCTCCATGGGAATTCTACATTTTTATGAATCAACGTACATGTCTGGGGAGTTGGTTTTAGTCGTGTTGGTCTAAGCACACAGGCAGACAAGGTATCTTGGGTAAATCTGAATTCTTGTTAGACCAGCTCAAATAGTTGGAAAAATTCACCTCTGCAAGCTTTGGGGTACAAACACCCTTCTTCAGCCGAAGATATAATTTTACATTAGTAAGTATTTCAGCTGAAGAAGGGTGTTTGTACCCCAGAGCTCACAGAGGAGAATTTCCCCAACTATTGTAACTGGCCTAATGCAGGGTCTTCATAAAGTCCTTGTACACTTTTAAACTTTAATAACTTAGGTTGTAGGTATGATAAAAACAACCTGTAAACAGCATTAAAAAGCAAATTTACTAAAGTTTTAGGGCCACTAGAGTACACAATACTAGACATCAACATAACCACCATTTTCTTATCACCGCTGATACAGACTTCAATTCTGCTAGCCACCAGCCATGCTTTCCCTTCTCGTCTACACTACCAGTAGCCATTTTTAATTTGTCAAAGGATCTGAAATAAGAATAAATTCGTTATTACTTATGAAGTCTAGCACTGTGTACTCCAGTGGTGCTAAAACTTTAATAAATTTGCTTTTAAATGCCGTTCACAGATTGTTTCGATCATCCCTCCAAACTAAGTTACTAAATGTGCACAAGGACTTGATGACGAGCTCAGATTTACCCAAGAACCCTGCGCGTGCCTAGTGCACTTCCAGCGCTCGGGGCCGCCCAGCCCATCGTGAGCAGCTTGCACTTGTGCGCACAGGAGCTTTGCAAAAGGAGCCGGGAACACGGGGCGGGCTGCAGCCCCGAGCGCG